CACCTCTGGTATATGGGGCTGGTGCCCTACTCCTTGAGCCACAGGCGCTGCCCAAAATAAAGCCTTTTGTTTAAAAAGAATTTGTTGAAAGAAGTAAACTATAATATCAATAATACTTGGGCAGCACCTGTGGCTCAAGGAGTAGGGCACCAGCCCCATATACTAGAGGTGGCGGGTTCAAATCCGGCCCTGGACAAAAACTGCAAAAAAAAAAAAAAAAAAAAAAATATATATATATATATATATATAAAAATAATACTTGGGAAACACTTTCATATAACATACATACCTAAAAACACATTCTGCCAAAGTGGATGACTCAGGAAGTTACAGAGAGGGCACACATTGATACTGTATACAACATTCAAAAGAACTTGCTAATTCAGCTTTCCAAAAATCCGAGTATATTCACTGCAGACATCCCTTTCAGTTGATAGGTTAAGATCTACCAGACAGAGCAACTGCTTATCAAACATGTTGCTGTGTGACTGCATTCTGTTATGTCCAAATGTAACTACGAAGAATGCCAGATGTCCTTTCTTTCTTTCAGTACTGCAAGCAGTGAATACTGCTTCTCAAAAGCAGTGGCAAAATGTCTTTCCTTTTTTTCAAAAAAATTTCTCACATGGCCAAATGTCTTTCCTTTTTTTCAAAAAAATTGGGTTTACTGAGGTATAATTTGCACATAGTAAAATTCATCCTTTTAAATGTGTAGTTTGATGAGTTTTGGCAAATATATACAATAGTATACCTATCAACCTAATCAGGATGTAGAATATTTTCATCTTTCTGAAAGATGTCCAATGTTTGAAATGTATTCTTTTTTTTTTTTGAGACGAGCCTCAAGCTATCCCCCTGGGTAGAGTGCCACGGCATCATGCTCATAGCAACCTCCAACTCCTGGGCTCAAGGAGTCTCCTGCCTCAGCCTCCCAAGTAGCTGGGACTACAGGTGCCCGCCACAATGCCCGGCTATTTTTTGGTTACAGTTGTCATTGTTGTTTGGCAGGCTCCTGGCTGGATTCAAACTCACGAGCTCTGGTGTACATGGCTGGTGCCTTAGCCACTTGAGCTACAGGCGCCGAGCCTATTTGCTATATTGATTGTATCCTTGCTAATGCAGACACATTTTAGTTTGACTGAGTTCCATTTGTTTAATTTTTGTTGTTGCTGTGATTGTTTTTTGGGTCTTCTTTGTAAAGGAAGAATACAATATAGGCCAATATCTATAAGAGATTTCCAACATCTTCTTCCAGAATTCTTATGGTTTCATGTCCTAGGTTTAAGTCTGTTATCCATTGTGAATTAATTTTTGTGAGTGGTATGAGGTGCAGGTCCTATTTCAACTTTTTAAACATGGCTACCCAATTTTCCCCATTTATTGAATAGAGATTCATTCCCCCAGTGTATGTTTTTGTTTGTCAAAGATCAGATGGTAATATGAGGATTGTTTCATAACTAAGGTCTTGGTTCTGACCCATAAGTCTATGTCTCTATTTTTATGCCAGTAGCATTCTGTTTGGATTACTACCTTGGGCTTAAGTGATCCTCTTGCCTCAGCCTCCCAAGTAGCTGGGACTACAGGCACCTGCCACAGTGCTGGCTATTTTTTTTTTTTTTTTGAGACAGAG